TCGGCACATTCAAATCGTCGAAGGAAGTATTGAGCTTCTGTTCAGACGTACTAGTATTAATTGTTGCTGTCTCGGCGACGTATCTATTTGCAGGACCAACTCGCCTTTTCTTTCTGTCTCTTCTTTTTGTCGTCTTTCCAGCAGAGTGCCTCTTATCTCTTTTATCCATTATTTAAACAATCACAATGTTTTTAACTTTCAAAAACACGTAAATCAAAACTTGTCAACAAAACAAGAGCACGTTGTGTTCATTAAATTTAAGGTTATATTTACCATACGCGCGCAGCGCTCCGAAACGCCCGGCCAACACATCAGCGTCTGACGCTCTTTTCAAATACTTAGAGTTCGAATTTTTACTTGAAACTTTACATATATGTTCTTCGATGTCTAAACTATTGATTTAGCAAAAAAAATGAAAAATCGATTTTTTGAAAATTTTACAGTGTTCGGGCCCCTTAACCCCTTAACTTGTACGCTCGAGTTAATTCGAGCGCGCTAAACAGGCCAAACTGTGCACACTCGAGATAATTCGAGCGGCGTTGTATTTTACGCTGCTATAATTTTTCACACTCAAATATAATTGAGAATTGAAAATAACAATGTGAAAGCAAAGAAAAAAATTTTTTTACATAAAAAAAATTGATTTTTTTTGGCCGGTTTTTTTCAAAAAAACTATGCGTTAAGGGGTTAAATCAACGGCCTTAAATGATAGTAGAAAAAAACTATTTTTGAAAAAATATTTTCAATTCATCATTAATGATAAAAAAATATTTGTCTTAACAAAATTGGAACATAATTCACGACAATGCGCAGTCTGCACTAATAAAACTGACAGCAAAAAAAGGTCGCATATTATTTATATACAGTATAGAAAAGGAGTGCATGCATTATGTTTTAATAAACATATATGTCATAAAATTTGATCGTTCAAATCTGTTTATTCGTAAAATGTCAAAAATTTTTAATTTGTTTGTTTTACATATCTATTGAATAAAGAAAATTGAAAATAAAACAAATAAAAAAGAATTGTTTGTTATTTACATAAAAAAAGATAACGGTTCGGAAATCAACTAGCAGTAAGATTGAACGCGGTGATTTCAGCAGAGTTCGAGCGCGTGTCAATTGTACATCGCATTTCAATAGCGTGGCACTTTTCGATAAGAAATCTGAACAGTGCGATCACGCTGTTGGGCATTCAAATGGTTAATAATTTCATTTGTGGGGCAGAGCGACAATTTTTTCTGCCAAATTCTTTCATTTCAAGCAAAAACGCGTCGAATAAGCATAATTAGAACAATATTGGAGGTAAGGCCCCTAAACTAAATAATTACCGTATTAATTAATAAATAATAATAACATTCCAGAATGCAGTATGCTCTACGGGTGAAATCAACATTAAGTTATTCATGGAGAAGTCAGAACAGCAGAATGTGACAACATGCGGATCTGTGGTTTCATCATCCAGTCGTATCTTGATAATTCCTGTTCATAAACGTTATCAGTATGCTCGAAAACTGAAGTCAACGTGACTCTGCCAATGCCAATGTTACTGCTGGAATGTCAAGAAAAACTCAAATACCATAGAGTGTCCAAGATCAATCTATGCTAGCCATGCATTGACTTTGCAACAAAATGGCGAGAAATTCCGTATTGAATGGGGATTACGAATGGTCGATACCAGTTAGCAACTAGTTTCTCTTAACGTTCATCACCTACGTGATTTTGTCCCCTGTTGTTAGTGCGATATTCATCGCGAGTGCCATTCACGTCAACACCTCGAGAAATCGCAAAATGGAAAACTGAGCCAACACTTAAGTACTTACAGGGGACTTTCATGGACCAATGGAGATTCTGTAACTATAGATATTCGTTAGAACTAGGAGTTTAATCATTTCTAAACGAAACATTTTTCGTTCAAGTCACACACATTTTCTAAATTTAAACAGGCATTAATTTCTACGCATTTCTAAATAACACTTCGAGAAGCCGAATTAAGCAATGCGTAGGCCGTTAAGAAAACAGGTGCAATTTCAGATTAGATCGTCGATTAAATTATTCGTATCGAACTTATCTCTCTAACTTAATTTTAAATTATTTTTAAATCATATTGCGGTATTTTCATTGCCGCAAAGTCCACTCGGTTAATCGTGAAAAAGAAGAACGCAGAAAGTTAGTCTCTTGTTAATCTCGCGATATTCTTAAACGGAGACAATTCTGATTGGCAAATATATATACGCGCGTTTGTACAGTTTCTCGGTATCCTACGTTTACGGTATCTACTCGCGGTATAGCTAGTCGTGTTAATCTGTAAGAAATATAAATACTTAAGAATACTTATATGTACACACTCTCGGAACGATACCGATACTCGAACCCTCTCAGAGGCTACTACGTATGACACATGTAACATCTATACACACACACATACACACATACATACATGCGCGGGATAAACATGACATCCATAGCTCAGAGAATTAATGGTAAGGAGTAGGAGAATGTCATCGGGCAAAAATTGTTCCTTTGTCGATTGTCATGGAATCTTCTCAATGTCCCTTAGCTCTTTTATAGTCGCGATGCTCGTCGGCGCCTTTGTCACATTGTCCAAGGTGCTGTCTCGCCTCCTCTTCACTGTGTCGTTCCACGGCTGTATCTTGCTCGAACCGAATAAAATGAAGATCAAATTGCCCACAAAATATAAGCCGGCCGACAGGAAGAACACGTTGCGCCATTGCATGATATCCTCCTAAATAGCGGAGAGAGCGATAAATTAGATAAACGATAAATTTAAGCAACGTATTTAAGCATAATAGACGTCAGTTAAACGTAATCTATAATGGGCAGTAGAAGTATGTTTATAAGAAGTAAGAATAAGAAATTAACCAATCATAGTCGATTATTCTCTTTACATTCGAATATTATTGGTCAATTTCTTATTCTTACTTCTTATGAATAGATTCTGTAACAAATTTAAGGAATCACGCTCTTCCCCAGACACATAGTTCGGCTTTACAGCAATAGGTATCGGCACCTGCTAACGTATGTATATATTAGTGAGCGTCTCTCGACCGAGAAGAATCGAAGAGAATCAAGAGAGAGAGAGAGAGAGAGAGAGAGAGAGAGAGAGAGAGAGAGAGAGAGAGAGAGCTGTGAGAAGTGAATCGCCCGCGAGCGAAGTAAGAGTTAAGTCGAGTGCGAATTGAAGGCCAATTAGGTAATGCCGAGCATTAGTTAAGTCGAAAATTTATTTGGTTAAACTCATTGCATTTTGTTAGCACGATCAGTTGGCCACGGCGTTTAAGAGGAAATGTTTCCTATTTCGTGCTTTATGAATTAAACGGCAGTACCACGTAATCTACCTCACAGGTAATTTATATCTCGTTGTAACTTTGGATTGTTATGTTAATTCTTTTGGACCTTTGATCGTTAAACATAATATAGCACCGTATGATCTGGCAGAACATTATCTCTTTTCCCGTTTCCTAGCCTGGAAGTCATTCGGACCGAAATACCCTCAGCTCATCCTGAACATCCTCTTACAACTCTTACTGCCTATTGTAGACTACGCTAAAGGCTTATTACGCCTATTGTAGATTCTTCAGCTTCCGACATTAGACGATAAAGAAAGAAGGAAACATCACGAGCGGACGTACAACGCGAATATTTCACGTACCGGATCCGGGGCGATCCAGCCGGCGACGATGGGCGCGAAGATACTGCAGATGTTAGCAGCTGCGTTCGTGAATCCCATGAGCGTGCCAGCGAAGTTCGGGCTGAGATCCATGTGATTGACGTTGTGGCCGCAGTAGGAGGCGATGTTGGTGGAGACCGCGATAATCAGAATCGCCTCGGCTAACATCCACTGGTCCTTATTCACATAGGCCAGACCGATCAGCGCAAACGCCGGGATCCATTGGCTGAACGTGTTACAGATCTTCCTGGACGCTTGCGTGGTCACGATGTTCCGCTTAATGCAGAGGTCGGACACGTAGCTGATCGGGAAACTGACGATCCACGCTGTCAGATACGGCAGCGCCGTCGCCAAGCCGTTCTGCAATCATCGCACCGGCCGACTCGTGAATGACATGGCATTGAAGTTGCTGCGGCGTCCGCGACGACGATCCAACAAAAACTCAAGTCGAATTACGCACGAGCGTAATTGTTTGAATATTAATTGTTACTCCAGCGTGACCTCACCTCGACGTACATACTGAACTATTAATTAATATTCGGATCGCGCGCGACCACGGATCAAAGAGCGACCAGCCGTGCCGCGATTTCGAGTCGAGACACGCGCGCGAGACATTTGACCGTCGTCGCTCGGCTCAAGGTACCCGAAATTTTGTACTAGCGTGAAGCAACTCGAGGGACGATTAGGCGAAATTGAAATTTCGCCCGTATTTGTGAGACTCACTTCTTGAATCTTGAAATTCATGATCGAAGTCATGTAGGATGGGATCTCAGTCAGTAACATCCAGAATCCCCAGTTGTGGGTGCACTGCGTCACCAGCAGCGCCCAGACTGGGAGACTTGTCAACATCGATATCCACGGAGTGGGCGGTTTCTGAAAACGAAAAGAACGTTGTGAACAAGTAAATTTAATCCTGCAATTGATATATATTTTTTTCTCTTTTCTATTATATATATTATATATAATTTTTAGCATTTGATTTAGAATTCTTTCATATCTATTTCTAACTTTATATAAGATATTTTCATTTGTTCTACACTCATATTAGATCTTTTTCCCTCAAAATTTTTCATTTTTCATTTAATTTTTTACTTATACCTATTGTAATTTTAAGTAATTTTTTGTTTTTCATTTCACTATTCAGTACTTTATCCTTACCTTAATCTCTTACTTTTTTCTTTCTTTTCTCTTTATAATTTCTCTTATCTACTATTATATACTTTTTTTTTTACTTTCCACCCTCCTTTATGTAAATACTTATCTTTTTCCTTTACGTAAATACTTATCTTACTAGTCTTTAGAGAGTATGCCCTAGAACTGAAATAAACGCTTTTTCTTCTTTCTCTCTCTTTTCTTGTCTACAGATTTTAATTTAAAAAAAGATAATAGTATTTCTAGATTTAAGATCAACTGATCGCGAGCATTTTATCTTGTTTTCATAACGGAATATTATTTTTTTTTTCTCCATGACGGCGTTAATTAATAATATGCGTCACCTCGCTGATCTCGGTCACTCCCAGACTGATTTCGATATATTCCTTTTCGTCTAGGGATATACCGGGATGCTCGGAGGGCGAATCTTTGCCGAACAAGAAAAAGGCGATGCCGCAGAGGATGCAAATGCTACCCCAAACGTAGAAGCAACTGGGCCAACCTATTGGCGATGCCGAGAGATAACCGGAACTTAGCAGAGATATTACGTTGCCGACCCAGCCGCCGGAATAAACGAAGGTCCCTGAAAAAAGTACAAAGAACACGTCGAAATGTAGAATTCTGCCACGTGCCACGTCGTGCTGAACGTCGTGCGATTAAATCGAAAGGAAGAATTCTCCTTTCTACGTGAGAAGTGCTCAACGTGCTTAATCAACTCGGCATTGTCCGGCCGTGATAAGAATTTCTCGTGCGATCGATCGCGCGTTTCGACGTGCCTGGTGATTAAATTATACTTCCGTGTAATGTCTCTCACAGACCTGCTCAGAAGAGCTGTACACTCATTGGACACTGCGCGTCACATATCGCATCGCACATCGCGTTGATCTACGAAAGCCATAACGTGCCGTTAGCGCACGCGAAAATGTTACTATCATTTCGTTGAACGAGATATTAGCGTAATTCACAATAATTATTAGCTAAATCAGAAAGTTTCATCCGTTTTTTTGCAAAAAGTATTGTTTTAAGAAACAAAATGAAAAAGTACACCAATCAAAATACTGTCCATCGTTAGCGATGACTTTTTCCCATCTTTCGGGCAGCAAGCGAATTCCGCGGCGAAAGAATGGCTTATCTTTGGAGACTATCCAATCAGAGACCCATTTTTCAACGTTTTCATAAGAATTGAAGCGTTCCTCAACAAATGCGTGTGCCATCGACCGAAACAAGTGGTAGTCGAAAGGAGAACAGTCTGGTAAATAAGCCGCATGGGGTAGCTTCCCAGCGAAGTGCTTCTAACGTTTCCTTGACAAATTTTGTGACGTGAGACCGAGCGTTGTCATAAAGCAAAATCACTTTATGCTGTCTCATTTCTGGTCGTTTTTCGTGCAATGCTCGGCTCGAACGGATAATTTGTTCTCAATAGAGATGCCCTGTGACTGTTTGACCAGATTTCAACAGCTTATGGTACACTACATCCTTCTGATCCCACCAAATACAAAGTATTGCCTTCTTTTCGTGGATATTCTGTTTTGGCGTCGATGTTGAGAATTTGGCCGGGGTCGCAAATGGCTTTTCGACGTTTGGGGTTGTCAAAATATATCCATTTTTCATCTTCAGTGATGAAAAGATATAAAAACCCCTTTCTTTGTTGTCTAGCAAGCAGAATTTCGTAGATGGTTTTTCGCTTTTCAATGTCTCTTGGCTTCAGTTCATATGGGACCTATTTTCCTTTCTTGTAAACCTTTCCCAAGGCTTTCATGTTTTCTAGACGGACGAAACTTTCCGATTTATCTAATAGAAGCCGGTAATGTCGTGCTGAATGATTGCGTTATTTTCTATATCTTGCGTTTTTATTTTGAACTTATTTTGTTATTATTATTATTATTATATTTCTCACTTATATATTGTATATTATAGTTATTTTCTATCTACTTTTCGCCGATAATTCGCGTGTCTGTTCATTTCAATCTGTTTTTTTCTTACTTGCTAAATCTTACTCTTTTACGCTCCTTTTCACATTTGTATATCAAACGAGTTTATTTCCCATTCATCCAATGGCGCTCCAAACCCAAAGACGGGCCTAGGCCTACCTCTCTCACACACGTATGCATGTGGTGCGCACGCAGATTATACACATGCATACGGAGCCTACAGTTTAAACGCCGATTCCGAACGGCAAATTTGGAGAGAGGTTTTCTTGACAAGAATATTCTTGAGGTTTGCCAGGCCACCAAAGAGGAGCTACGAGCGTATAAAAATTTTCTGACTCTGCCGGGAATCGAATCCGAGACCTCTAAACATGGTAGACCGCTTTCTATCATACTATGCTCGCGCTCAAGAATATTTCTCGTTGACGATAAATAAATAAATAAATAAATAAAACAAACAAACAAACAAAATGAACGCGCTGGGCATAGTTAATGCACCTGATTATACATTCGAGAGACATGAAGACGATTATTTCACGATGAACGGAGGAGCTGACCTCCGCCGCGGCTTTCGAAATACCCAAGGTTCGCTCCGAGACCTTCGGCGCACTCAATACTTCGAAAGCATTCGAGACTTTCGGAAGATTTTCGTTGTGTATTCGAAACGTTTAACGCGCGCTGTCCAGTACAAGTATGAAAAAAAAGTGGACACTCACCGAGTCTGCCACGTTCTTCGGGCGGCACCCATCTGGACAATAGGGTATGCAGGATCGGTAGAACGGTACCTTGAGCAAGACCGGCAGTCACCCTAGTGATGATTACCGCCACCGGACCCCCAAAATGAGCGGCCGGAGGGACTATGATCGTCACCAAGCCGCAAATGACCAGTGCCACCGCGAACAGATTCTTGGCACTCCATTGCCGAGCGATAATACTACCGGGTATCTGCGTGCAGATGTAACCACAGAAGAAGGAGCTGAGGATCATCCGCTTCATCGAGTCCTCCCAGTGGTACTCCTTTGGACAGAGAGTAATTTACTTATTATTTTTATTTATTCTTAATTAATGCCTAACAATTTCGAATGCCTTCCGATGTATACTTGTTCATCATTTTTACTTTATATATCCTTTGTTTTCTTCTCTTTTTCTTAACCTATCTATCCTTATTACCTCCTGTCCTTAAAGAATAATTGGTAGTCTTTATTTTATGCTCCAGCAATAAATCCTTGTTGAAGAATTAGAAGAAAATATATATAAGGTATAATAATATAATAATCTCTCGTGTCCGGTTAAGGCAGTCGACGAGGGGACGATATTTCTCACGTATAAATAAGCCGGAAGCGGAGTCACGCACTATTTTCTCGCACGAGAAAGAATTTTCAGAGAGATCGGAGAACGACTTTTGACAATCGGAAAATCAGTAGCAGTATGTATCTTTTGACGCTCTCAGTAAATATATCTATTCATCTATTTTTTTCTGAAATTTCTGTTGTCGTTTTTAATACGCACCTCGAAATTCGGATTGGCAGTAGCCGCGTTAGTCATTGCTTCTATGGCCACTGACATAGTCACCCTGATCGCATAGCAGCATAGGAAGCACAGGCACATAAGCAACACTTGCGTGTGTCTGCATCCATACCATGCTGCGGAAATTTGTACAATAACATGTGTGTATAATTTACATATTAACATAAGATATATATTTGTACAAAGTAGCAGTTATACATGATAGTCAAATTACTATAATTTTCTATAACAGTCTGAAGCTCGCACGGACGGTTCTAAAAAAAACAATTCCAGACAGCATAATGTCTAAAATCGAGACATGAGATGTCTTAAAGATGTCTTATGTCTCGATTTTAAACACTGTGTTGTCTGGGTGTTCTTTCATAATCGACTAGTGATTTTCCTTTCGTTTTTCTAAAGTCTTCGGGAAATACGGACTACTTTTTCACCACACCGAGCGGTCTCTTCTGTTTTAATACTCGGAGCAATTCGTTATGATGCCAGCGATTACGTTAACATGAACATCACGTGTCAATACGGAGCCGAATACAAATAATGGAATTGCCGTCAAGAGCACGCCACATACGCGCAAGACGCGTTCGGTCATACACATTGTTATTTGCGCCTGGTATCCAACAAAAATCCAGCAACAATCGTTGGTCATAAAGATCGCCGGAATATGCGAGTAATGGTCGATAAAACCTCATCAATCGTCTGTCGGATTCCTTTATCGGGGAAGGGAGACGCAATCCGCAGGCCGGAGAACGCGCAGAATGCGAGTTAATAAATGCTAATCGAACATGTGTCGCTTTTATTTGCGACACGTGATTTCCCTGAGATAGTTCCGAGTACGAAAGTGCGGGCTTTCAAGAGAAGACGATGCACTGCTCGAAAGAAAACGGAAAGAGCGCGATGAAGTTTCCGAGGAAAATAGGTACCCGCAAATTTTTCAATAGGAAGACTTGAAACATCTTGAAATTCTCTCTCTCTCTCTCTCTCTCTCTCTCTCTCTCTGTCTAACGATTTTATCATTTTTTATTTATGACGACAATATATGGATGTGACGTTTTTATCATTCGTTGAATTTTTATCATTCATTTGAAGTTTGATTTGTTCTAAATGACAAAAATCTAGTGCTTAATACGATAAGATGTGTTCACGTTTTAAAATCATGTGACATGATAAATAGTACATATAGTACACAAATATATGTGCGGAATGTTGATATTTTCCCTGTATCAATGGAGCGTCGATAAGATTCATACATCGATAAGATTCAAGTGCTAATGTATCGAGATTTATAGCAGATTGACATAATTCAGGTTCCTAAATGAGGATCTTATCTATAATTAAGGCGCTGCCACCAATTGATAATAATAGCGACAATAATAGCGTTCTTTTCTCTTTCTATCTTTTCTTATATGATTTTTACATTTCATAGAATTTGAAGAGAGGGAAGAGATTAACGAGAGAGAGAGAGAGAGAGAGAGAGAGAGAGAGAGAGAGAGAGAGAAAGAGTGTGTGTGGCGTTATTGCGTACTGTGACATTGCGAGTGAATGATTGCATTTTCTTGAAAACTGACACGCACATTTTATCGCGAAGAAATTCTTTTTCGTAGATTTATAAAAAAAATTTCGCGAGGGGATACCGAGTTTGTAAATTAATTAGACGCGAGTATCGATGCGAGGTCATCATGGTTTTCCTCACAAGTTTTCTTTAGATTTATTCGCATGAAACGTGCTAGTCTTTCTCTCGGAGTGAAGAAATATTGTTTCGTGTTTAAAAATTAACAAGTCGTTCTTAATACCTTTCGGTTTGTTGGGTGGAATCTTCATGTTCTCCGAAAGCGAGATGACGGAGACCCTCTTCTTCCAGACAGACTGTGCCATTTTGTTGTTAGCTTCTTGGTGAAGTGATGTCCGTCACGAATGGTAAGAACGACTACGATTCGTCGATCGCACTCACGTAGCTTTATACTCTATCACCGAAATCAGACGCTCCCACTCTCTTGCGTTTAAACGTATACTTAAACACTGGTAAAGCACGTTGTCACATAATCGTTCAGTTGGAATTATTATACAACAGCTATAGTGTCATTAATCGACGGAATTAATTATACATTTGCTCTACGTATAGAGTAAGGAACCGTCAGGCTGTCTTTTCCTTCATCTATACATCGAATCTGCGATCGAAATCTACATTTAATTATGTCAAATAAAATTAATTATAGATGTATGACTCGTATATCGAGAGATGCACCTTTGTAACCGAGTAGCAAAATAATATGTACAATACGTCTAATAAATTGTAGTATAACCAAATACCACGAGAAGAGTTTTCCATGAAGAAATAATTCGAAAATGCATAATAAATTTTTGCATAACTCGTTGTGACTTTATTTGCAAGAAAATCGACTTTGGAAATTCCAAAGTAAACTGTAGTATCTTTGACTATCTGTGAACATTTTTTTTTTTAAACAGATGTCTCGTGATAATATTATTCAAAAGCTTAATCATACGATACAAAGAAACAATCGAATAATTTAGATGAAATATATATTCGATATATGTTGTAAAATGTATCATTAATATACAATTAGAGGTATTAAAAAAAGTTCAATTATATTTAAGAAGATCGTTGAATGAATTGATTTTCTTTCTTTTACTGGTGCATACTTTTAGTTGAAATTGTCACTATTATGCGCTCACACAGACGAAAATTCTACATTTATCTCAATAATCTGTCAAGTGTGCTCCTTTCTCCAACTTATTTACATTAAAGCCTTATCTGTTTTTGTTTTCTTATCCGGAGTATTACTATAAATTATAAATTTTTGCGACTATTTTCAAAACTAAGTGATCAATATTGCTGATTCTTTTTGTATATTGTCCACATGTTGTCTTTAATATTATAGCAATTTTTCATTAGAATGTTTTAAATGTCTCAATTTTCGAACGGTCGATCTTTTTCTAATTACGTACACAGTTAAATAATATTTCAATTGATACGTAGTCCAAGTTTAAGTTACCACAAATTCCTAAGAAATAGGTAACACTGCACGAGCTATCTTGCACGAGCTAATTCCTAAGAAATAGGTAACACTGCACGAACTATCTTAAATTCGAATAGACGACGTTGCGTCACACGTCACGTTCTTTTGTTCGCTCGATTTTATGATTCATAATGATCGGAATCCGTAGCATCACAGTAATCAGGATATTCTTTTGTCCTACTAAGATAATGCATTTAGTGCCAAGTACGATTCAAATACAGTAACCAATGTTTGCATTCTATCAGATAAAGAGTAACTGAAGTGATTAGCTTTATCGAGGTGAAAGTGTCTGTAGTATATTATCATTATATCTATATATTCACTCCCAGAAGGTTCACTCCCAGAAAGACATGCTTGTAGTTAAAGGGGCAAATGACGCGAAGTGATACGGTAAGAGAGAAAAGAGAGAGAAAGTTAAATATCGAGAAAAGTGTAGCGAATATTTTCTTATAGGAGGTTTTCCTTCACAGAAGTTTTCGTTTTTCTCACTATAAAGAAAGAAATCAATTCAATTCCTTCTATATTATTATATTCTCTATAACACAATAGTGAACACTATCATGTAATCATGTAATCAGTTCACTTTTATCTCAACTTTATTCCTTTAATCATTAAGAGATAAGGAAAGATTTGAGAAGATATCAGTAAGGAAAATAAAATTGTAAACTGATTGAGAATGATTTATCAATTTTAAATATCAACCTTAAATAATTTGTCAATCCATTAAATTATTTATCAACGTAACATTAAAAAAACATCAAGTTTCATTCGCGCCTATGTGTAGTGAAAGTTCGTCAAAGAACACTCAATAAGTGAGACGTATTATAGAACACTCACTCACACATACATACATATACATACACATTTCAGTTATGCATCGAATGCGTGCTGAAACACACACATTTTTCTCACGACTAATTTTTCGAAAAATACATCACCATCGGCACTCGAGGAGCAGTCTCTTTTTTCCAATCGTTCTTTCCTCGATTACATATCGCTTAGTATGTCTAAAGGCATAAATATATGTGCGACCTTCGATATATCGCGTATACATTAAACGCATATGGCAGTATATATAAAACCGGCCTAGATAGAACATAAAAGTCCATTCTTAATGCAGACAACGATTAAAAAGTCTGCATTGCTCAAAGGTCAAGCTAACGATTATGACGGCGTTGACGAACGAACGAAAGGAATAAACGGCAAGCAACACGTAACACCGGCTAATGTAAAACTGGAAGATTATTACACAGAGCAACGTTATATATGTATACGGTCGCCGTATCGAAAGCGACAATAAATACAGCAACAGCCTCGTAGTCTTTATCCAGATTCCGGTGCCGTGGGAAATTCGTTTTATAACATTAAAATCAGTATATCACAATACAAAAGTTTCTCAAGTCTGCGTCTCGGCCACATCTTCTCTTCTCGTCTGTATCTGCCGCCGTGCCTTAACCTCTTCAGGATCATTCCACCATTGCACCTCACCTTTACCAAAGATCACAAACGCCAGATTACCCAAAAAATAGATCACCGCCGATACGTAGAACACATTATTCCACTGGTACACGTTGGTCTGAGAAGAAAAACGAGCGATATCTCGCTAACAATTCTCTCAAGAATTCGTCTTCTCGTGGAAGAATAGTTTTATCTCAGAAGAAAAAAAAAGAAAATAAGAGCTCGTTATACGTGTTCCAAAATTACCTCATCGTTGATGATGACCTGGTCACAGATCAACGGCACAATTATGGCGATCACGGAAGCCAAGCAGTTGGTGATGGATATCATGGTGCCGGCGTAGTTCGGGCTGAGATCGATATGGTTAACTTGAAAGCCGCAGAGCGAACCGGCATTCAGGCCTACTGCGACGATGAGGAGAACGAGAGCGCTGGTGGAATCGTTTTTGGGCACGATCGACATACAGGCCAGGGCAATGGCCGGGCCCCAAAACGCTATCGTGTTGGATATCTTCCTGACCAAGGCTCGGGACGCGCCCTTCTCCAAGGCGAAGTCGGATAACCAACTTGCGGGGAAACTGAGCAGCCACATCGCTAAGTACGGTAAGGCGGAAAATCCACCGCTCTGTGCGATAAATATTACGTAAGATTCAATCCGAACAACATAAAATGTCCCTAAATCATCAAGAATGTGTCCCTGAGGAATGCCTTAGAATGTCCTGAATACTTTTAAGATGATCTCAGGACATTTTGTACTGTCTGGGGAACGTGTTACGAAAAAGAAAAAAATAATCAAATGAGAACTTGTATCTTTGTGAAGTAAAGAAGATAGCTTCGAGTCTGCTTTATTTGACTCATATTGAGTGATAACCCGCTTACCCCCTCGATATTGAAGTTCAACACCTTTTTCATGTAACTGGGCATCTCGGTCAGTAGAGTCCAGTAGCCCCAATTTTGGCCACAGTGGGCGAGGATGATGGCCCACATAGGCCACGAGGTGAAGATCTCCCGCCACGGTATTTTCTAAAAAAAGGAACGGAAGATAGTAAGGTCAAACTAATATCGCACCAATATCGACATTTTGAATTGTTTTCACCTCTTTAGCTTTATTGTTCTCTTTTTTTGCGATGATCCTCAGGCTTTCTTCTACGTACTCTCTTTCTTTTTGGGAGATGCTGCGATGCTTGGCCGGCGAGTCCGCCCCAAGGAAAGAGAAACATACGCTCCAGAGGATCGATAACGCGCCGAACAGGTAGAAGATGCTCGGCCAACCCGTGACGGACGCGGCAAGAGCGCCGGAAATCGGCAGAGCGATCACCGTGCCAAATTGGGCACCCGCGTAAGCGAACGTTCCTGAGACCAGGTGAGTCGATCTTATCAAAATACGTATACACACATATATCGCCGCGATCAACTTTGCGATTTAAAATAAAAGCAAAGTGGCCAGTCACCGTACGTAGGATTTTATCTCTCACGATCGCGCGTTTCAATCTCGCGCACGATCATATCGCATATTTCGAACTCAAAAAAATAAGAACATTGAAAAAATACCCTAAGTCGAATATCTGAATTCTCCGATATTTTAGGCCTCCACGGTGTGGAGAAACGTTTGATCTGGTTTCCAGGTTGGCACTGTGCCTTTCACGAATTTATTTCGACGTTTTGTGAATATTTAGATTCACTTTTTTTCCAATTCATTTCTCCCTGAAAAAACGAATTGAAATGTTCACGAAACGCCGGAAACAAATTCACGAAGAACGCGGCACCAACCCGGAAGCTAAATCGAGCATCTAAGTTCTTTTCTTCAGTATAGACAGAGAAAAAGATTACTTTAGATTTAATATACGTGTTTGTATGATTTGGGTTTATTTAATATAAACAACAATTATTGTTTAATTAAACAATTATTTTTAATATCAAATATATCATTTTGTTTAAATGAAAATATTATTGTTTCTTCAGAATAAACCATATTGTTTGATAGAAAAGATAATATTATTTAGAAAAAATAATGTTTCGTTTACATATACATATATATTACAATAAAAAAAATGTATTCCATTATATATTAAATATTGTTCCACTGAGGCAAGAAAATTCTTTGATAATCTTCTAACGTAACGTTTCTTCTTTCAAATAACTTATTATCTATGACAACCACTGTAAAATGTTTGGATGAAGATATAAAATAAATATTTTATATAAAGATACTTATTGTTTGAGAAACTAAACAATCTTATTTGTTGAATCAAACATTCGTGTGTCTGCTCTATTCCAAAATACAAATCTACTTCAATTAAAGAAATTTCATTAAATCCAAAGAAATCTTTTTCTTCGTGTAGAATTAGCAAATCGGTCGTGCCTCAACGTCGCGGTTTTCGAATCCTACTGAAGGATATCTAGCACGGATTCTAAATCTATCCTCACCCAGTCGTGCTCTCTCAGAAGGCGGCGCCCACTTGGAGAGGAGGGTGTGAATGCAAGGTAATAGGCAACCCTGAGTGAGACCCATGCCTACCCTGCAAACACAGACGGCCACCAAGTTCCACTGATGAGCGACGAATGGCGTGATAACGTTGAAGATACCGCACAACAGCATCCCGATACTCAGGAGCATCTGAGCGCTCCAGATATTGGCGATGTAGCCGCTTGGCACTTGCGCCACTGCGTAGCCCCAGAAAAACGAACTGAGTGCCAGCGCCTTCTCGTTCTTGTCCCAACCAAAGTCCTGGTGACAGACATTAATTCGTCAAGCCACGTTGTTGTGATCTCTGTAAATTTTTACTTCGAAACTGCGCGTATACTTTATACATAATTTATTAATATGTAATATAAACTTCATATATGCCAAAAAGTTTGTTTATTTTAAGGCTTTAAAAGAAAAGCCTCTTGATTTCCTTAAGGGAGCTCGGGAGAACCTACGGAGAGTAGATCCCTCGTCGGATAAATCGACGATGTAAATTATTTACGCTCAACAATTGTGTGAACAATAACGACAATTACGATCTGGCGCATTGGTATCTGATCTTTATTGGCGACCTTGTAAAAACAACGGTAGCCGTTATTCGCACACACGAGGTCCGTGCGTTTAGTTGCTAGCTCGATAAGAAATCGCGGGAGTGAATGTATCAGCCTTGCTGCTGTTTTCCGCGCGACACGCGCGACGAAAAGCTTAGGCTTGCGTGGGATCGGCCACGAGATTTATCGCGTTATCGACATCTGTCATGAACGAATGAAAACGTTTCATTAACCCATGGTCTGATCTATGCACTTTACTTCCCCCTCTTCCCCGATTCCGGGTCGACACGAGGAAAATTTTCTCCCCGTGACACAAATTCCGGCGTAGTGACGCGGATTCCGCGAATACAGAAATTTGCAGAACGCTCTATGACTAAGAGAGCCGAACGGTCGGCGACCACGTGTCCGATCGATGCGAACGGTTCCGCTCGATCGATCGATCAAATTTAATAATTCAACGATTTTTGACATGTTTCATTCATATACAGTACATTAAAGACGGAGTTGTGCTATAGATTCGAAGATTAAGTCTACGTGGATAATTTATATATTGTCTACGTGATGATTACACGGACTTTTTTCATGTAGACAATGTACACTATATAAACTATGTAAAATATAAATGGCATAGCACGGTGCAAAAAGAAAGGATAACTTATCAATTTAAATTACACCCAACTGTGAAATAGTTCACATATCCGATTCTAAAGTTAATTATGAAGATATTTGATATTAAAAATTGAAACATTGGTATATATACAGGATATCTGACGCAAGCCGTGCTATCCATCATATATTTGTAGTTTAGGTCGATATGAACAAAAAAGTTCTGTACCATTTTGCAAACAACAGTGCAAAATTTCGAATTATTAATTATTGAAAATGTATTGAGGCTTCTATTTAAATTTTTGAATTATTAATTAAAGAAGCCTCTATACATGGCCACACTTAATAATTAGTAAGCTGAAATTTTGCGTGTTTGTTGTTACCGTTTGCGGTTGTTTGCAAAATAATAGATAATTTTTTTCACATTAACCCAAACTACAAGTATAGGGCGGACGGCACGGCATGCGTCAGACACACACTTTATATGTAGATTACACGGGAATTTTATCATTTAAATTCACTTCCCCAATGAACACCAATCGTTAGTAACAGCAATGTTATCATTTCATCACTAATGTAACTATTACATAACACATGCGTTATATTGCACTTGCATTGTTGAGTAGGAAATTATAACATTGATGTTACTGTTAGTTTGTGTATAATGATATAGTGTTTTCAATATTTTTAGACTCAGTAATCTAGCGTTCATAAATGAAATGCTATTATCATTATTATTATTATTATTATTATTATTATTATTATTATTATTATTATTATATAAAAGATATATGTTTGCTGTAAAATATACAAATTTTATCATTCAAGTTAGTGAACTTTCAAAGGAAACAAATCATAAAAATAAAACTCACGAAATATAAGATGAAAATAAGCTATTCTATAGCGATTCATAGACATTATTTATTGTTTACATAAATGACACATCATACACAGTTTACATTATCCACACGTAGACTGTTGTATTCTACGGGTAAATACCAAATCCTGCTTTAAGATATCTTCTGTGAAATTTGAAACGTGACGATGAAATGTAAGAACACGTGCAGGATTTCCCCGAGAATAGATAAGGAATTCGTCGCATTGTTGTTGTATAACAGGATGTTTAATCAAGATCTGACAATCGTTAAGGCGTAATCTCAAGTATTCAGCCTCTCCGAGTCAACATTCGAGCAACTGCACTAATAAAAAACCAGAGGAATTTAATTAAAGAAACAAACGGTCGACGAAGGGGTAGGATAAAAGGGATTCTTACCTCGAAATCTGGATTCGCGGTGCTCGCATTTATCATTGGCACAATAGCCACCGACATCCCGACTCTTTGGCTGTAGCCAAGAGTCATGCCCAAGAAGATCAACAGTATCTGTAGATGCCTGATTCCAAGGTTACCTGCGAAAGGATCGTCCTGTTATTAGGATGAAAAATGAATCGCGTTGACACGCGAATGCATTCCAATTGTTCGCAATTCTATTCTCCCATCTCTTCATATTCACATAAACAATTTCATAGTTAAAAAATGTCCGTTCTATCCGCGTTCACGTTATAACATACAGTCATCGAAACGTGTCCATCCGTCGTCGTATTCGTTACTTTCTCAAGCAAGCCTCAAGTCCGATAAGGACCCTAAAAAAGGGGAGGAAAAGTCGCTTAATCGATTCAGCTGAAGGCACACCGTTTTCACTTATCGTAAACGCAAGGATTAATTCAATGCCATCACATTGAAGACGACCATTGTCGGTGTCGGACTTAATTTCCACTACAGTACTACTGCTGACAGTTAAGTAACTGAGTTAAATAAGCAATAACTAGGATGCATGTATGCCAAAGAAAAGCGGATACAGCATTGCGACCTTGGAAAGTTACAGAGAGAGCCATATGTCAATATATTAAAACGTTGATGAAAATGATGATCATGAAAATTAATAACGATGGCTGATAAAGTGTAAAAATAATGTTAACAGGATGTTTAATTGTGATAAAGAAAAAAATAAACTATGATGACATTATTAATAACAATATAAATCACGAAGAAGTCTCGTATTTGTCAAGTAAGAAAGAAATAATTTCTTATCCTTGGCATTTCTCACGAGTTGATTCAGTATATAATTTCAATCAATTAATATAATTTCATGATATAACTTCAAGGCTCTACCCTTACTATCCAATACTTTTAGAACATCTGATAAATAAATAATAGTAGTCGATTCATATTTCGTCTACTCAACGAATACAAAGATAGCGAATATCTGTTGTAATTATATGATAGTGCATTAACGATGAAACATAGGATTAACGCGTTTACGTGTGCACAATGTCTGTGCATTTCAAACGTGACCACAGACAAACATAAACAAATCGCTCGTGCAATTTCGCGGATCGTCAATATTTACTCGAGATTGGCCAAATTTTAGATAAGACTATACATACATACATATATATACATACACATACAATATACACGATTTTGTACATAATCTTCCCAATCGGCAATGAATATATTGATTTATATCCAGATAAATTATTTAATGCGTCATAAAGTAGCGATATGTGCAACTATCCTCTCTTATCACAAATTCAACTTCATATGAGTATTTACAAAACTCGTTGGTGCTCTCTCTTCTTTTCAATATACGTATCATTGTTGCGGATTCGATAGAAATCAGAATTCACGCATACTAATCCATACTGGTGCAAAGTAATTTGCTAATCGTCGCATAATCGCACCGGATAAGTATAATTCCACGAGTGAATGCCGATAGTACGCATATTTATTGGCGAGATAACAGCAAGAACATGCAAATAAACGCGGAAAAGAAAAACACACGATATTCACACTCGAGTTTTTCTTCTTTCGTAGAAACCTCGAAATCGATTTCGTATAGATGAAACATTTCATATTATATACAAAACGAAGAGCAATAATTTTTGTTATTACCACTTTAAATATCTTCGAAGTATGAGAATAGGAGAAAAATTTATCTCTAACAGAAATTGCACATTGATTTTGCCAATGGCCATCATTCTGAATATCTTTTGCAAATATATACTTTTTTTACCTTCATTTACAGACGTTGATAAAATACTTCTGATATAAAATAAAAAAGACAGAAATACTACTGATTCTTCGGATAGATATTCAAAGTGGTAATAGTTATTATCTCACTCTGTATATTTCCGATCGTCCGCTGGAAAATTTTCGCTCGGAAGAAACGACGTCCCGAAAATCTTCGTCATTGTCAAATCAATAACGAATTAATGTCATCGTAATCGTGATGAAGTATGATATAAAAAGACACAATACTGTACCGCAATTATCACACAATTATCGATTTAGTGAATAAACGCAAAAAGAAAAAAATGAAAAACATTATCAACGTGAGTAAGTGTTAGCGAAGCAATTGTTGAAAAGTAAATCTCACGTGATAAAAAAGAAAAATATGTGTCACTATATGCATTGTCATCAGTTGGCCAGATTAGATTTCTAATGAAATAGGACGATATCATAGCACAAAAAGACGTTTTTTTTCGTAATCCGAATCAGATCTGAGAAGATCTAGCAGGAGATACGCACAATAAGGATGAAACCATGATGATTCATGATTGATTTACAGAATGACGCAAAACAATACATCTCGGGGCAGATTCGCGATTGATTACACATTGCGCGATTCTTCATTATCGATCGCGAGATAGCGAACAACTTATATGACGCGTGTTTCGTTCGATTGTTATTGATTATTCGTTCGTTCCTTCAAACTAGCTCGTAAACAAATATATACTATTCTCTACTCGTAATCGGACGTGCGATAATCCCTGATAAAACGACCGAGAATACAAGACGGAATTTCAGAACTATTTTATCGTCCGTTCAATTATTCATTAGAAAAAGTTACTCGGTATTTCTGTAGCAAGAAAAAACCGCGTTTAGTGTCTCTATCCTGATGCAATCAGCACGCAGTAATACCTTTACGTAAAAATTTCCCGTAACGTGTATGCTATAGAATATGTGTGTGTGTGTGCGCGCGCGCGCGCGCATGTGTGTGATGTGTGTGTGCGTGTGTGTGCGTGCCGCACAATTTTCGAGATAACTTGACAGTTACTAAAAACTCAGCGATGCCGTTTCGGCAAAATACACGCGACGTTTCCTCCCAAAAATTGCATATTATAAAAAGAAAGTTACGTGACCTTCCGACGCGTCATCTCATGATATACACCTCGTGTATGTATATATGTTCGGAACTAGTTATGTCATGACATAACTCATGCGATAAGCTATATTTGGTATCTTTTTCACTTCCACATATTTCTTACTATACTTTAGTGAAAATTGGGGAATAAGCAAGCGAGATAAAAAAAAGATCATTCGGTGCGCCTTCGTTTTTCTCGCAATATATCGCCCTCGCACTGACAGTTACATGTTCGAATATTCATCTTCGTCGGATCTGATCGCAGTTTGATAACACAGCAGAATTTATTTTAACGATGCACTTTCAATTTCGACTAGAGCGACCATGAATACACACAAGGACTGGGTATTGCGACGCTAAGTCATGATTTATACTGTCACCACGTGAAAGAGAGGAAGGTGTAAACATCTGATTGAAGAATGGACCGATACACCTATTTCGATCCTTCTCTTTCTCTCTCTCTAATCTCTCTGGATCTTAACTGATCCTTTGATCTGATTCTGTGTAATAATCCGACGGTTATCCACGGTCACTGGCGGTTCTCTTACTGCTGCTTCCGGCCGAGTACTCCGCAACGGCCGACGTTTTCCGCGTCGCTTTGCCGCCAGATTCGACGTCGTCGTCCTTCTTGCCGATGCCGATCGTCATTTCGCTGTGTCTCGTCCAAACCACGCACCGTTAAAATCCTAATCTCACCTACAGCACCGATACTTATACGCCGCGCCCCTTCCTTTTGCTCCGTCGTTTTCCCTCTCTCTCCCTCCCCCCTCTCTCTCTTTCTCTCTCTTTCTCTCCGTCAGTCTGCTCGATCGTTGCAAATGATTTATCCGATAGATCGATGCAGTAACGTATAATTCACTCAACAAATCAAGAGAAACTTGCCCGGTACTGTCGAAGCCAGCGGGCCCTCCTCTGAAGAAACTTCAGCGTTTCTGGATATCTGTGGAGGGCCGGAGGTCATTTCTTGGTGGCGGGCATCGCGATCAAGCCTTGAGACACTTCCGACTTTTCGAGTGTCCCACTTGCCGGTCATTCATCTGCATATCCATTATTATGGGCGAGGTCCTAGACATGCGTGCTGAGAACCGACAATCGCGCATAAAATCCTCTCGATCAGATCCTGCTCCTTCCCAGATAGACAAAAATGCTGAACATAGTACGCAAATATTTAATATATACTTTGTGACGCCATTGCAATATCACACGTATTTAAAATATGCTTATTTTAAGAAATACTATTATTAAGAAATACTATTATTACTCCATAATTTTAATTAAAATATTGACTTATTAAAATAATTCCCGATTGCGTTATCTTTTGGTCAAAATAAGCAGTAATATTCATGACATCAAACGATTTCTTTCATATACTGACAAAATTCTTGTTATATAAAATCGCATCTTCGTATACTTGTATTAGTCACACGATGTAAAAAATATAGCAAAATATATCTGTATGAGTTAGTTCTTTCGCGATCACCCTTCTTATTAAAACGTTGAACATGCAGCAAGGACGGATTTGCACACCAGGAGCGATGAAATTGAACGTTGTTCTTCGTAATTTAGATTATTATTAATATCGCGACATATATATAGAAATGTAGAAAAATATTGCTAGATGCACTCGCAGCGCTCGTGTTATCGTACGTTCTTACTAGCTGCGCTGCATTCCGCCGCAGATAAAAGAAATATAGACACTAGTTGAATTATGTTGAACGGAAACAAGATAAAAGAATATGGAAAGGGCGCAGAAGAACGTACTTTATAATTAAACAGGCCCCTCGCGTCATACAAATGTCACTTCCGCTATTTTACATTTGCAATTAAACACGAAATCTCGCGCGATAACCGGAGGTGACACGTATGTAAGTAATTTAATTACAAATAATTTCTTAGCTCGAATCTATCAATTAATATATATGTATAATCGTCACAACAACGCGCAAGTGATACGCAATCGCTGCATGTGGGTCTTATTTTATCCCCGTTGTGACTTCGTGTTACCTTTAACACTAAAAACGAGAATGTAAATTCATCGATCTCACGATTCGATATCCCTCTGTCCTTTCGTTTTCTTCCTCTTATCTTCTTTTCTGCTTTTAGTCACTTTTTTATACATATTTTTATTTTGTTACACAAAGTTGTTCTGTTTGATAACTCACAAATAATTGACAGTGAGTTCCGACCTCGAACTTTGTGACTATCGTCCGCAAACGGCTCTCAGAGTCGTTTACATTCATTTATCACTGTCTTCGCTTCTTCTTCGCCGATGGTTTCTTAACTCTCGTTTCTCGCTCTTTGCTGGACTTGTTACTGCCACTGCTACCGCTGCTGCGTCTTTTTGAGCACCGTAGAGTCCTCTGCGGCGTCCTGTAGTTCTCTGGATTCGTAACGCTGTAATAACGACGCCGCGATTAACACCGTTAATAATAAAGTTTATCGCGAGTTTTATGAGGACATGTGGTAAAATTGCTATGAGTCTTTCGCTGCAAATGTATAAAAATTACAGAATTCTGCTAGTGAGAAGAAGCATGTGTTTGTGTTTTATTATATCTGATTTTTACTTGATGCAATCTACTTGCTATTCAGTCGAATTGATCAATTAAGGCTTCTGTTTCCTCGCTGCAGCCATGCACCTTGATTAACGACGTCAGAAAAGCGAAAAAAAGCATACATCCAAAATTCTTGAGGAACTGCTGCGTTTAAGCAAAAGGACACGTTCATAAAATGACATTTATGATCGATTGAACACATTTGTAAAAACATTCCGAAAACTCTTTTTACTTTGACAATCAATAAATAGCCGTAAAATTAACGTGACTAAATTATGGGCAAATTATATTACATGGAAAAATGGGCTAAAAGGGAAAGTTATATGTCATTAATTTTACGTTTATTTATTTATTTATTTATTGTTACAACGAGAGGAAAGTTTTCGGAGTATTTAACAAATGTGCTCAATCACCACAAATGTCATTTGATGGACATGTCCTTATTTCAATATATTTCGCAAGAATTTTGAACATGCCTTTTCTCGCTTCTGACGTCATCAAATAAGACTACTGCAACGAAAAATCATGAGCCTGATGTCAGAAACGAGGAAAATCATACTAATTTATGTGACGGTATACGTAAAAATAGAAGAATATGCACACAAAATAACACTCGTGATCGATTCAGCACAAATTTGTAACTTTTGTAAAAATGTCCGGACGCTTTAATCTGAACAATTAATAAATAGCAAATTAGTATAACATGCAACTTACGTTTTTAATCTATCTTTTTTCATGATTTTTGTTACGTTAATTTTATAAGTGTGCTGCGTTCAACATCCTTTTGTCCTTTCGTTTTCTTCCCTCCTCTCTTATCGCAGAAGACTCTACAGTGCTCTAAAAGCTACGTCGAATCCATCGCGAGTGTTATTTTGTGTGTATATTCTTTTATTTCCACATATACCGTCACATAAATTGGCATGATTTTCCTCGCTTCTCAGTCATCAAAGAAAGACAGCCAAAGTGAGTATTCAAGAGCCTTAATTTGCCGTACATTAATTAGGATGCGATGCAACAACAGAAAACTTAAGACATTCCTTCTCCGAATAACGTGAAGTGCGTGAAAAGCAAGCAAGAAAATGATGAAATTATAACGCAAGCAGCAAAAGTTTCATCTTGGCACCTACTCCAAATGTTCAGTTCTCGTTGGTTCGTGATCTTTCCTTCCCCTCGCGTTATTGTTGGTAGTTACGGGTGGCGCTTTCTCGATCCTCTCCCTCTGCGAGGCTGGCAGGCAGCTATGTTGCATGGACTTTTGCGTTTGGGTCGCGTACGCGTTTTTCGAGGTGGGCTGCATGGGGGGCACGATGCCGTTCTTGTCGTACAATTTGCCCACGTCCAAGGTCACGCAGTGGGAACAATTGTGCGTCTTGTAGATGCCTACCAGGTAGTCCGCCAGCTCGAACATGTTCGATCGCAAAGAAATAACGATGAATTGCGTGTTCTTCGTACGCTCCTTGATGTAATTGCCGATGATCGAGACGTTCTTAAAGTCGAGCGCCGCGTCGATCTCGTCCATAAAGTACAACGGCGAGGGTTTGTAATAGTGCAAGGCAAATACCAGAGCGAGCGAGCTCAGGGTCTTCTCGCCACCGCTCAGATTTTCGATGTTCTTCCACGACTTCTTGGGCGGACGCACGCTGAGAACGACGCCCTCGCTAAACGGGTCCAGCGAGTCGATCAGCTCCAGCTCCGCGTCGCCGCTTAACGTCATCATCTGGTACATTTCTTTCAACTTCATGGAGATCAAGCTGAAGCCTTTCAAGAATTCTCGTGTCCTACGCCGCCTAGCCGTCTCGTAGATGTCGCGAATCCGGTTGCGTTCCGTAGTCACCTTCTCGAGATCAGCTGCGCGGTTTATGTACAGAGCATCCTTCTCGTGATAGTCCTTAATGACATTCATATTGGGCACCTCGGGAGGTAATTTTTTCTTCACCTTCTGTAGATTTCGCAGTACCACCTCCATGTCCAATGCAATGATCTCTTCCTCTGTTAGATCTTTCAGACTCAACTGTTCCGTCTCGCGTGGAATCAAGTGAGGCTTCAGATTGCCTATCTTCCGAGTGTACTCGGAGATCATTAGTTGAAGCTCTTTGAGAAGCTTCTTGCTGTCCTGGAGTTTCTGGTCCAGGTCGATCTTCGTCGCCTTCATCTTGTCCTCGCGCGCCTGCAAAGTATTCAATTCCTCCTTTAACAAGGCCGTGACTGTATCGCGCTCCACTAGCGCCTCATTGAGAACCTTCAGCTTCTCCAATATATCTTTAGCCTGTTCCTCCAACTCAGACTTCTTCTGCTGAATGTCTCTCAATCGTTGCTCACACGTGTGCACGTCGCTCTCCAGGCTCTCTATGTGCTTCTCCGTCTTCTTAACGTTCCGCTCGGCAGTTTTAATGTCTACCTGCAAGCGAAAAATTTCCGCCTTCGTTTTTTCCACCAATTTGTTCAGTTTGGCGATCTTGGCCTGCTGATCGCGTACCCGATGACCCGAGATCTCGTTTATCATCCGGTTGATGCGCTCCACTTCCTCTTCTACCGTGGCAGAGGACTGTTCTACTTTCTCCATATGCGATTTGGCCGTCTGCACAGCTTCCTTCAGTTCCGCAACCTTCTCAGGATTCGATACCGATTCAGTGACTTTCTTCTTCTGCTCCTTCAGCTGTGCCTGCAGAGCTGGTTCTTGCTCCCTCAGTGTTTTCACCTCAATGCTAAATTTCTTTTCATCCACTCGCAAGTCCTTCAACGCCGTCGTCAGCACGCGGATCTGGTTCTCCAGCGTGTGCTGCCGAGTACGCGCCTCATTGCACTCCTTGAAAACGACGTCCAAGTTTGACTGCAGCCGCTCGATGTCGGTATTCGTCGGCTCGTCCCTCACGACCTTCTGACCCATTCGACCGCGCAGTACCGTTCGTCCACCGCCGCTCATCGTGCCCGACAGCTCGACTAGCTCACCTTTCAGCGTTACCACGCGGTAACGCGTCCTCCCGTATGCGATACGCGTCGCCTGATCCAGATCTTGCGCCACTAGAGTGTCCTGTAGACCATAGTAAAACGCCGGCAACACGCGCTCATCCTCCACCTTTATTAGATCAAACAGCCGGGGCACATTCTCCGGCGTGTTGATCTTACTATTACATTTGGACAGGAATCGTTGCTGCTTGTCCAACGGTATAAACGTGGCACGTCCTATGTCATGCTGCCGCAGGTATGTGACGCACGCCTGTGCTGTAGCCATCGTGTCCACGACGATGTTATCCAGCGGGCCGCACGCTGTCGACACCGCGACGTCATATTTCGCATCGATGGCACCCAAGTCGCCCTGGATGAAAAATAAACAAAGTAAACAGAGTATACAGTATATTAGTGCAATCAAGCAAACTACAAAATGATATCAAAATATGTGACATATAGTTGACGTCATATACGCTATATCATTTCCTAGATTGAAACTTTTTCTATTACACAATTTTTAGCTTTCCATATATATACTTACGGTCAAAACTATTATAATTAAAGTTAATATAACTAGAATTATTGTACAGAATATATATATATATAAATTGTGTCAGGTTCTCATGGCATACAATCAAATATAAATTAGAATAGGCAAGTAAGAGCTATATATAGTCTGTCACATAAAAGCGTGTCGACAATATCTTTGAAACTTGATACCTAATGAAAGTGAGACCACAATAATCTCAATGTATACAGTCCTCTCGAATACGCGTTAAATCAGTTTCTTTCAGACTTTCAGTTTGCGTCATTAAAGAGAACATAGCTTCAGAGATGAGTGCTGCGAATACAAAACGGTTTAAAGCGGTTTTCCTGTGCACCCAAAAGAGCCAAAAATGAGTTTTGCAAGTGCTATTAAATACCTACATAAGTCGTCACAGTTCGTTAGGAAGTGGATAAAACGATATAAAGAAATAAAAAGTGTCGATGACTTTCCAGATCGCGGCTCAAAGCGAAAAACCAACAGGGAAGATAAAGTGAATCCTTCGACTTTTCGAGAAAAATCCGAATCTTTCTTTACGAAAAGGACAAGCAGTTTTGGCAAAAAAGGGTACAAACATTAGTATAATGAAACTGAAACGTCGTTCGGAAGAGCATAATGTCAAATGGCGTAGTACAATATCCAAACCGTAACTTTCAAAAAAGCATGTCGCAAATCCTCTGACGTAGGCTCATCAAAATATCGATTGTGACTGAAGCAGCATAGTGTTCAGTGATGAATCTTCCTTTTGGGCCTGGTATACTATTAAACATGCTTAGTCTAGCCGTGAACAACCAATAATAGAAATAAGTGTAAAACACCCCACAAAAGTGCATGTTTGAGGTTGTTTTGACGTGTGAGGTTTCAGGAGTTTTCGCGTCTTCACAGACAATTTGAATGCACAAAAAATGTTAAAATTGTATCAAATGGGACTTCTCACATCAGTTAAACGTTGATTTAGTGAAACTGAGGACGAATGGATTTTGCAAGAAGATAACGATCCGAAACATCGAAGTCGAATCTACACCGAGTGGAAAGCGAAAAATGGCATTATCGTATTGAATTGGCATTCCCAGTCCTTGTCCCTGATGCCAACCCGATAGAAAATGTGTGGTCCACAATAAAGCACAAACTTAAGGGAAAATGTATATTAAAATTAAAAACCTTAATAAAACGTATTCATCAAATATGGAGATCGCTACCTGTATCATACGCCAAGAAATTGATAGAAAATATGCCAAGATGCGAAGCTAACCTGAGGAAATTGAACTCACTATTAAAGTAAGGGCGTATTAGTGTTTTCTATATACTTTCCTCTCGGCGGAGGCTGTAACCGCTAGAGAGCGCGTTCCCAGATGGCGGATCGGGGAATGCTCGACAATCATCCTTGGATGTTGTAGGGTAGGAAGGAAATAAAATACTTCCCGTGGACCAACAGCTCACAGCTGGCAATGAATCAAAACGCACAAGGAAATACTACCCCAGGTGGTACGCCGGGTAACCCGGAAAATCCACCCTCTACGGAAGTCGGCCCTACGGATTCTGGGGGGGGGGGGGCCAATCATTGCTG